CAAGCGGGCCGATTTGGTAAAAAAGGGCCAGTGAAAATTTCCGAGGTGTTTGACATTTCGTCTCCAACCAGTTTAACTGGAGAGCGGTAGAGTTTTGTGGGAATCGCAGTGAGATCGGTTGCAGAATGATCTTCGGAGAGGATGGGGGGAGATTGGACACGGCCTTCGTCTTCGAGACCAGCTTCAAGAGTCATAGCCAATGTGGCCTCTTCATCTTCTTCTCCATCTGGCTCTTCGTCATTATCTTTACCTGACACCATTTTCTCCAACCCAGAAACGTGAGGCTTGCTTGCTATTATATTAACTGGCGAATGATTTTCATTACTCGTATGAGACTCTGGATTATCCACAATCTCCATAGCCGATGAATGGTCTGAGGCCCTATTTTCCTCAAGAGAACCAGATGAAAGTGCTGGGTCGGCGAAAGAAACAGTGAGAGAAGCCGGAGCAGAAGAGAACGAAGACGGAGGAGCTGGAGGCAGAAAAAGAGGCAAATTGCGATCTACATTAGAAGCTAATTCTAGATCGGAACATATTTCGAGTTGACTGTGGATTTGTAATCCTGAGTCAGCTGAGCAGTCAGTACAAAGATCGTCAACAGGAATGACAGATAACTCCACACTGGCTTCCTCTGTGTGATTAACGACTATTGTGGAAATCCCTGCCTCTGCCTCAGATACTACACCATCGAGATCGCCACCTATAACACCAACAGAAGGATCATCATTCTCCCCTTCTTCATGAAGAAAAAAGAGCTTGAGAAATTCCCTATCAACACTGGAAGCCAAATCTGGTAGGTCATTAGTATGAGCTGGACTGGTTGCATGAGGCAGAATCGGAAGTTGAGTCACATTTGCCTGATTGGATATGGATTCATGTTCAGTAGCATTAGAATGGGATTCATGATGCCGGAGCGAAATAATCGCCTCTTTGGGAGAAACGACTACGCTTAGGTGCTCTTGGATTGGGGATCTGGATTCATTATCAAGATGGTGTGTGCTTATGTTCAGATCTTGAGGACCGATGAATAATACTTCCTTGCCAGCTGGCCTGGAGCTAGAGATAGACCTGTCCGCGGCCGAAATGGGAAGAGCTTCTGGGACAGGAAGGACTGTATTTGAGCTTTTGGGACTAGGAGAATCAGACAATCGATTGGGTCCGTTTACTTCTTCGATAGCTGGAGGAGGTCCGAGCAAAAGTAAGGCCTCATTAAACTGCTCTTCCGTTGTATACTGATCTGAAGGAACTGAAAAATCGTTGACAATAAAATCATCTTCGTCTATGTCAACTTCCGGCATTTGGCCATCATCAAGGGTTGGACTGCCTGAAGGGCGGGAGAGTAAATTATGTGTATCAGAACCAGAGTGGGCTGGATTTGAACGTCTCAGAGCTCGACTAAGTCGACGACTCATCTCGGAGCAGGCTCTTCGTTGTCTCATATCAATACGTCGCGGTCCGTTAGGTGAAGCTGCTATAGGGACACGAGTGGTCTCTTCAGTTGGTGAATTATGTTGATGATCATGAAGAAGAGATCGGGCCTCCGTTTCACTAGGCACAGGAGGCATATCAACAGCAATATCACTATCCCCCAAATCTTTATCATTATCAAATTCGATCAATCGCATCACATCTTCATCATCGTGAACGGAAGGCACGAGGCAAGCGCTTTGACCTCTTTCCGGCAATGATTTGTCGCAAAGAGATCCAACCTCTTCAACATCAATCAGACCAAGATTATTCAGATCTTCGGCATCTGCATGATCGCCGCTTACCACGTCAAGGACGTGAGTGAGGAACGAATCACTCACTACATGCTCACTGGTCTCATCATCAAGGCCGGTGGCCGTGGGGCCAAGAACAGATTCGAGGTCAGCGGCATCTTCGGGACTGCAAGCAAGAGCAGCTGCAAGACTAGTGGCTTCCGTTAAGTTATCCTCATCATGGTCCGGTGCGGTGGACAGCTTCTCCTTCTGTACCAGCAGAGTTTTAGGGATATCGGCGCCAGACGACGTGTTCAATGTGCATGCCTTGTCTATGGGGCTGGCAAGAAATTTGCCTGTGCTCTTACTGGGGGTGCTGGTTGTCGTTGTAGGAAGGGGGGTAATAGAAGAGATGGTGCTGACTATGCATGGCGTTGCCTTGGTGAGGAAAGAAGAGCATGAAACCACCGCCAATTTGGGCTTCTTCTTCACTCTTTTCCGCGTCTTCTTGGCGCCAGAGGAAAAATCCTGACTGCTGCTCGGCTCCACTGACAATCCACTGCCAGCCAAACCCTGTCCACAAATGGATTGCACTGATTCAGCGGCCAACCGACTAAGCTGAATTTCACCTTCGTCAGAATCGGCGTCAAGATCAATTTGGTCGCGAGTAGAAAGAGCTCCAGCCGGTAGCGGGACGCAGACGGAAGTCTGGTCGTTTCCAACACCACTAGCCGCACCAACCATGGCAGCTGCAGCCAAAAGAGCATCAAGATCAGCGTTGCCTGTGCTGGTAGCATCGACGACATGAGATCCAGGCCCAGTAACCTTGAGGCCGACAGAACAAGCTAGCTCGTCTTCGACGTGCTCAGAGCTATTCATCCCATTTACCATAACAAGTCCAGATGACTGAGAAACAGCAGAAGCGGACACAAAGTTGGAATAGCCAGTCCCAATCTCGTCCAACACTTGGACGGACGAGCTAGAATCAATCAGAGTATCATCATCCAGATTGGTGAGGCGCCAGGCAAGACTGAGAATGTCATCTTTTTGAAGGACACTGCCGTCGCCGTTTGATCCAATCTGGCCAGCCGACCCAGGATCTAAACCAATGGAAATGGTCTCGCTCGAGAGAGGTAGAAGGGAAACATTAGGTGTAGATGAATCAGTTAAATTAGTGATGAGAGGTGGGATAGCACTCCTAGATAGCTCTGCTGCGCTGCAATCGGCGGAAAGTGTGGCTGGTGGAGGTGTGGCAATGAAGACGCCCCCAGTAGTTGATTGAAATACAGTGCCAGGAGGAGCAGGACAAGCGGTAACAGAGGAAGGAAAAATACTGGAATTGGAAAAGGGATGGAGAAAGCCAGTTGCAGTACTGGCCAGCGACATTAAAGGCTGACCAGCAGAAGTCCCGTTGCCAGCATCACTGCTACCTATACCACTAATAACTGATACAGGAGTGGAGAGGCTGGCAGAGGGTCCTGTAAGCATAGTTGGAGCGGACATAACTAGACTTGTCCCAGGAGCACCTGGGCCCGGAGTTATCTGACCGCCTGAAATAAGTATGGGCCTGCGGCTTGGATCGATCAGGGTCTGATGAGTGGAATGCAGTGCCGAAGCGGGAGGAATTCCAAGAATAGACTGAGAAGCGATAGAAGCACTAGGTGGTGGAAGCGATTGCTTGGGATCAGAAACAGACGAAAGTTCGCCATTAGTAACACTAGGAAGACCAAGGGAAAGGGCGCCAGCTCCATTTGTTTGAGAATGGGGTTGAAGAAAAGGCCCTGTTTGATAGTAGGTGATGATGCCAGTATGTGGATCAACAGAGGCCATAGTTGACGAAAGACTCCCGGACGCCGAAGGAAGAAGAGCAGAAGGCGCATGCATAGAGGTGACAGGCGACCGAGAGGTGGAAAGAGAATCGTGAGAGGGGAGGTTAACAGGTGTCGATGCAGGAAAAGGGGAAATCATGCTTCCTGTAGTGGTGAAGGTGACAGAGGTCCCGGTAGCAGATTGGGCCAAAGAACTAGTGCATCCGCTATTGAGGGCATTAGCCTGAAAATTAGAGACAGGAGAGAAAGATGTGATCATCTGAACATCTTCGTTAGCTGAGGAAGATGCGATTGGAGGTAGAGTTGGAGCAATGAAAAATGCTGTCGAGGATGGCACGTTGTTATGCCCAGATGAACTAAGGATGAATGGTTGGGTCTGAGAACCCAAGGGAGCTCCTGTCATTAAATGATACGGAGCGCTAGATAAAGTCTGTCCAGCAATACTTGATGTGGTAAATAGGGCCCCAGAAGTAAGAGCTGAAGCAGAAGATAGAGATAAGGAGCCAGTGATGTTACCAGATGCTCCCATTATCTGACCACCGGTCAGCAATTGCTGTGGACCTCCCGGCAATCCAGCCAGCATGCTTAAGGATGGTGATAAATGCGATGAAATCAAAGTTGTAGTGGGTAGATTTGAACCTATTGTTGCCAGAGCACCACCTACTCTTCGTTTAGTAGCTTTTCCACGCAATGAACCAAGAGAAGTGCCAAGAGAAACAAAAGAGTTTTGGGCGGCAATCACACATGACTTTGTTTGAAGTAAGCTCATGGACTTCTTTGAACAGTTTATAGGCATTGTGATTGTATTCTGTGACGACGTTGGAGAAGAAATCTTTTTATTTGATTTTGTGGCCATCGAAGATAAAGCAATAAGTTGATCCGCACGGATAGGCTTCGGTGCAATGGCCCTCGGTCTCTTATTTCCAAGTAGAGTTACAATAGAAGACGGACTATGACCAGGCCCAGGACTTGAAGGGAGTAGTGAAGAGACGTTCACCTGAGTACTCAAAAGTGTTGGCTTAGAAGCGATTAGAGGTGGTGTAACCACAGAAGTTATGGTAGTTCCCGTCGCCATGGTAGGCATAGTTACTGTAGGCATCGCAATGGAAGAAATTGGAGATTGAATGATAGAATTTAGAGAAGTAGGGGGAAAAGAAGAAAGACCATTTGAAGTTGTGGGGATTGAAGGTGAAGTGGAAAGAGAACCCGCTGAAGATGGTATAGGGTTCGTTGATCCAGGAGCGATAGACAAAACAATGGGGCCACCATTTAGAGACCCACCGTTAGAATAAGCACTAGCAACACCATTAAGTATTAAATTTGTCGGCACATTTATGGTATACTGCTCGCCTGTTTTAGCCCCAGACAAGGGGAGAACCTGGAGAATTACAAGAGGCAAGCCAGGAAGAGAAACTTGAATAGCAGGAAAATCACCAGCTTGAGTGAGTGGAGTCAGAGTAAGGGACAAGAAAGGAGGAAGTTGTGAACTTGTTGAAGCAACACTAGCATCACACGAAATGGTGCTATCAATAGTGTGGGTCGGCATGTTTTGAAAGAACGGCACAGCAGAATTATTACCGACAGTCGAATCTATAGACGCAGAGGGAAGAGACATCGACATCACAGTAGACATAGTAGCAGGTGAGCACTGTTGAATAAACATGGGAGCAGAAGATGTCAGAGAGTTTGCGTTAGTTCCGATAGGCATTGATACACTAGTCTGCAAGCTAGTTCCAAGTTGTGGAGGTATAAGCATCTGGCCATTTGTCATCAAAAGAGGAGCCAGGGTTTGAGAAGCCCGACAGCCTGCGAGACCACCCGGAAGTGTAGGAGAAAGTATCGACGCATTTCCAGCAGTCAAATTTGAAATGGCAGAAATAGCCTGTGAGTGGGTTGAGATTAAACCAGGGCCACCCGAAACCATGTTTGGTCGTATGGACGATTGCGGAATCAAAATACCCGCAGGACCAGATAGACAAGATGCATTAGTTCTGTCGTTTGAGACAATCGGATGTTGCCTGGAATCACTTGAGTTGTTATCTTGAGCTCTAGACATAGAAAGATTATTAAACAAATAATAAAAGCAAAATCAATTAAGGAGGGAATATCGAAATAAAAGTACCTTAACAACTGTTGAAAACCTCCCGTGGATATATCATGCAACGAGGACCCCGATCCTAGATTAAGCGTAGGAGCTGAGCAGATTCCAAGAGGAATTGATGCATCTGCAACTAAAATTATGGATCTGGTTGAGATAGCTATGATATTAATAATTAATAACCAAGGAAAGGGTAGGGATGTAGAAGGGTGGTCGTTAAGACCATGTTAAGAATTGTAGAATGGACACAAGTCATGATTTATCCTAGTCATAAGCCGGTAATAGATTTATTAAGGGATATAATAAGTAACAGAAGAATGTTGTTGAAATTCTAGAAATACCATAAAGACTACACGAGGAAGCGAGGAAAATCAAACAAGAACAATAAAATAAAAACACATTGATTAAGCAAATGCCAATGATAAGGAGTGAAGAAAACATTATTAAAGTGTGCCTCACTTACAATTAACACAAGGGACAACTTTAGAAGAAATGAATTTCGACAAAGTATCTGTCGTATTATCCATTGCTGAAGAATTAGGCGCCCTAGCAAATAAAGAAAGATAATAATAACAGAAAGAGGTATTATGACGAGATATAGGAGTTTAAATAATAAGGGAACAGGCTTTAGACTGGTCGAAATATAAAAATGAAAATAAAATCGCAAATTATCAATCAAGAGTTTAAAGTGGATTGTCAAAATGGAACAGTAATAGAGGGGCAATGAGAGTATAAAAAGCATTTGGGGACTTACATCAACAAGTGATGGCGCCATGCTCCGTGTAAAAGAGCACTAGAGTTGGGAGAAGGCTAGAGAGAATACAAGAACCAGGGGTAGGATACGCGCCATTAATGTTGAATGAATGCTGTCTTTAGAAAAAACAAAATTAAAACAAATAACTACATTTAATTATAATTTATATCAGTTTAGAACAAAATCTGTAATTTTTAAAAATAATTAAATAACATAAATATATTTCATTTTAACGAGGAAGATTTGAGATTATAATAGGTAACTTTGATTGATCGGTAGAAGGAAAATTCATATTATCCGATTCACTATTAGTTTTATATAACTATCCAAATTCAATAATCAGAACCATTAGCCAATATTGCGATTTAAGTTTGGCTATGGTCTATTTAGAAATACCTCATATATTATGGATAGTTGTAGTGGTGGTAGTCTCGAAAGTCTGCTTACAAACGAAAAGTATTAAGGTTTTTTTTTCTTAACTCCCAATTGCCTATATGTGTTCAGATTATCGCGTGGTTTTTTTAATTATATATATATATGGATTTCGTAATATTGTTAAACAAAGCTATTTAAACTATTATGTGTCTTTTAAAAAGCTCAAGGAAAAATACTGTTTATTACCATATCTTGCTAACGCAGAGCTAACTCTGCTAAAACTTGGCTCCTTTCTTTAACATTAAGCCTGCTGATTTATGTTTACAAGTTTTGTGTGTACCAACCAAGACTTCAAATGGATCCTTGATGATTTTTTTACTGATACTTCGTTACTGACATCGTCAGATAAAGAAAACTTTTTCTAAGAGATCTTCACTAAATACTGAGACATGTATGATGACCGAAGTGAGCAATACCCTCCCCCCCACCCCACTTTAAAAGTCATACTTTTTGCATTTTATTATTTATTGCTTTTTCTTCTTGCATTCAGATAAACAAAGCTGTGCCTAATAGCAGATGAAGTAAAAAGTTTTTAATTTAACATCTATTTGCCTACAAAATTCACTTTAAATGTGAACCTGCAACGTCTAAGCAAACATTTATGTTCTTTTTGGACTTGTCAGCACGTAATACTCATGAGCTTTAGAGGCGTATTTAGGATACTAAAGCCTTGGTCAGATTATACCATTACCCAATATTACCTTTACTCAATCCTTTCCTAAAGCCAAAATAAGATACTCTACAAGTTATTTTAATCGCTTTTCCTTTTAAGGGTGATGGCTATTTTAGGTATTTCAATAATCTACCCAAGCTTCATTAAGAATAATAAACCCAGAACCTTCAAACTTTCAAACTTTAAATCATTCTATCCTGTAACTTAGTTATTGGTGAATTGGGTTATTTTTGCTACTTTCTTGTGTTTTTAGGGTGACTTATTAGCACTTTGCCCTAAAACCTATTCTATATTAACTATTATGATTCCCAGCATCGGATCGTGGACTTAGTACATTATCAGACGTTTCACTTGCATTGTAGTCGGAATATCAGTGGTTTTTGACATTCCTAGCACCTAGTTACAACTCGTCACAAGAAAAAATAAAGTCAATCCCTTGACCAAAAATTATGCCAAACACGATTGTGCTATCACTCATCTTTCTGTCCTGGTCTATTTATCTACTCCCTACTTTCTTATCACGATCCCACACTATCATACCCCATGATTATTTACATTCCACTCTTCAAAATATGTACACTTTTTTGGAATGGTTTGCGTGACGTCATCACACCTGCTTTACACCTTGCCTCCCCTCTCTTTGATAAGCTAATCTGGCTCAGGCCTCTATCCAGATCTCCCTCATAGTTCCGTAGATCCGTTTCTTATCTTTCTGGTTGGCCGATTTCACTAGGTTCTAGTCCGATCAAGGTTCAAATCAAGCTACGACCTTCTCATTGAGTGGAGCCTGCTCGCAGAAGCCCGTAAAAATTTAGGGGCTTGGCTATTACATGACTAGAGAAACGGATACTCATAACTCTTATAGAAATTTGATATTATGGCAACATGTACTAGAAATCC